TTCCCTTTCGTCGTCCAAACGTCGTGAACAAGGCAGATTTTACCTTTGTTCATCTGGTCACATACATATTTGGGATAATATTAATACAAAGTATGAAGTAGAATAGGTAAACGAAAATATTGGAAGTACTTACCTTGACAGTATTGATGGCTTTGTTGTGTAAGTCTGAATAAAGGATGACAGACTGCTGTGCTTCCCACGTCCTTGATCTTACCACAGCACCTCGATTGATTGAATTGAAAGCTGCTCGAAGCGCCGAGTCTTCAAATCGAGCCCAAGGAAGGGCGTGTCGAACGATCCACAAGACCAATAGCATGTTGACCAGCTCGACCGTGAAGGGAGGTCCACTGACAAAGGCGGATAAGGTACCTTTGTCGTTTTTTTTTTGGCTCAATTCCTGCTTGTCGTTGTATGAAGGAGGGAGGTCGAAGCCTTCTGCAATTGCCTTATGTCGCATTTTGCACTGAGGACGGGAAACACTGCCATCGCGATGGCCCCGTAAGTTGAAGTATGAGGTTTTCGTCTTGTCGCCTGTGTAAGTTTTGCGACAAAATTTGCATTTGTACAAGCGTCCCTTGAGAAGAATGCCACATGAAATGGTTAATAAAACATAGAGTAAGAGAAGAGAGAAAGTAGATAAAGAATTACTTACTTGGGGTGGTTCAAAATAAGTAAGCAGGTCCCTCACATCGTCAGTCCGAGACTCATTATAGCCGGGTTCGTCGTTGGAATGGATGAACTGTATGTCATCGTCCAACTCTTGATCTATGTCTGCGTCGTCAGGTACCTCATAGACCTGGTCAAAGATCAAGATAAGTAAGATAAGTAAGATGAAATAGATGAAATAGATGGAAGAAAGACAAAGTGCGACTTACATCTGTCTTTGACTTCGAATTCTCAACGTTTGATTTCTCGACGTTCAATTTCTTTTTCTTTTCAGTGTTGCTACCTGATCGAGTACCTGATGGAGTACCTGATGGCGACCTGGCGCGCTTGCTAGTCGATGAGCGAGTCTAGAAGTTGTAATCAGATTACTTTAGGTTAGTTCTCCATTCAAATGTCCAATACCAAACATATAGACTGACCTTTCCCTTTGCTTTTGGAACTGGTGACGCTTTTTTACTAACGGGGGGTCGAGGTGAAGCAGGTCTATGTGAAAGGTTGTTGGGTGATGCTTCTTCACTTTCAGGAGTTGATTGTTGAGAAAGGGTGATACGTGAGTCTTTCGGAGTAGGAACGAGCCCTGGCTGCTTGCGAGCAGGGCTTGGTGGGCAAAGTGTTCTAGTGGAGGTCTGACCAGGAACCTGGAGGCTACTTTGCGATGGGGTTTGGGAGAGTGGCATGGTGGTGATTGATGTAGAATGAAGTATATGGAAAAATAGGTGGTCAGAGTGGATTTGGATGAAAGGTAAAAAAATGAATTGATAAAAAAATCACTCACCCTCTGAGATCCAACATTCGAATTGAGATCCAACCACAGGTTGGCCAAATGTGATATTTATTCCAGTGGTTGTTGTCGAGTGCGCCACCTTCCATATTGGGAAGATTGCTGGTGGAGGTGATGAAGTTGATCTAGGTTGAATGGTGGCTGCCTGATCGAAGGGTTTCACTCCGCAATGTCCGAAATATTGCAGAGAAAACCGAAATTTCGTTGCAGTTGACAAAAACCGGATTTTTCGGCCCCGGATTGCGGTGCGCCGACCCCGCAATATATTGTGGGGTCATTGCGGGGCCAAAAACCGCAACGCAACCGCACCACAACCACTAAAAGTTGCGGAGCGGTTGCGATATTGCTTCAGGCGAGTTTTTGCACAACTTTTTCTCAGCAAGTCAAGACTGCCCGGCTGTTGCCAAGCATCGGTCAGTCATGTCATTTGGAGGTCCTTGTCTCGCCTTGAGACTAAGAATTTGACCTTCTTGTCAATTTACAGTCTCCAGATTGGTGAATTCACCACCATTCTTCTCGTTCAAGAGACTCCATGCATACAGGTATGTTATGTACTATGTTCCTTTGCATACAGTTGACTCTGAAATAACCCATATCCCCAATACGCCATACTCTACCCTAACCCATAGTTTTTGGCCTCCATATTTTTTATGGGCGGGGAAAACGGGCCAAAAACCCATAACTCTATCATACCCCATAACCCATAGCTTTTTTTTGAAAATCAAAGCCAAAAACCCATAGTTTCCCACAAAAAAAATCAAATATTGCACCATAGAGTCTCAATCCATCTGCTCAGCAAGATCTTGAGCAGGATATTCAAGAACTCATTTCATTGAATTGTTCATAAAACAATATGATGCCCATTACAGAACTCCTAAATCCTACCTATGAGCACACGAGTGGCCTTGAGACCTGGAGTCCGGAGGAAATCTTTGAAGCAATTAGACAATGCAACAACATCACACCTCTATCTGCTCCAGAACACGCTGAGATCAAGGGACCTCCTTGCCCAGCATACTCTGACTTCCTTAAGTCAGCCAATGTAATGACAAATTACCTCAAACACAAAGATTCTGAGGAAGCAAAATCTTGTGGGAGGGCTCTTTGGCAAGCTCTGCCTACATTCAGTGCAGCTTGTTCCAAAACGCTAGTCCAGCCCAACCTATTGTCTTTCCTTGCTTGCTCTTCTTGAAACATATGCAATGAAATCACATACTCTCTTGCCTTCCCCAAAAAAATCTCTGCAATAAACCATAACCACTAATATATGGGTTATTGCAGAGGATCCTGATAGCCCATACTTTTTGGGTTCCATAAAAGGGTATGGGTTATCTCAGAGTCAACTGTAATCTGTTTCACACGGAGACCACGGGCCGCCGGCGGGGGGGATCGACACTATATATATCTTGTCTTTGAGCTCACAGTTTTTAGAAGGCATTGCCTGCTACCTCTTGCGAGACGTGTCAACTGTTGATACTGAGAGATCAATCCTCTGGCCCTTTTTCACATCCAGCTTCTCAATATTTGCTCACGACTGTGTTCATTTGCCTCCAAGTCCATGATGAATGCTGGAAATCATCACCATGTTGTACTCGAACCTTGGTTGGTAGATACTCACAATCAAGGTTGAACACTGGCGTTAGCAAATACAAACACTGTCTTGAAATTGGAGGTGTACATATGTATGTTAAGTTCTTTGATCTGACCCTTGCCATGATGATCAGAAGCTGCAATACTTGAGACCTGTGTGGTTTCCGAGCATGTATAATGCTTGACACCGGTGCTGCTCAAGCGTTCGTCAACAGTCATCATGGTGGATCTACGCGACCCAGTCGCTCCGCTGCCACCTCCTCCTGAAACTCTGAGACTCGATGATACCCGCGGTGTCATCACTGATAAAACAGCTCTTAGAAATTAAAAGAGTTGGGGTATGTGTGTACATCCGCCGGCAACTTGCGCTTAAAGTCAAGATCACATCAACCAAGATCGATCGTACCTCAAGCCTAACTTGCAGTTCCTCTTACTGGACCGTACCAACTGCTCCAGCGAGAGGACTGAGTTAAGTTCGATCGTACCTACGCTCAACATTGACAAAAGCGTCGCCATCGGCAACTAAGCTACTGTGAAATGACTCCTAGATTTCAGTCCATGGACTGTGACAGCGTCGAGGTCGAAAGCTGTGATGATGTAAAGACTACCTTTGTCATCTTCACCTAGGAAACCGGCATGTGGTATTTCATAGTGTCTGGACTTGAGGAAATTTGGAGTATATAAAGTCAGCGTTAGACGCACATGACCTTGACTGGTCAATCAAGAACATTTCTTTTCCTTCCTATCCATTGACACTTGTAGTTAAACCCATTGTTCCTATTCCTAAGAATTACGTCTTGTCAATCAATTGATTGAGAGATGGCAGCAGGACCCAGGAAAGCTTCTATTGAGGTTTGTAACGAGAATCCCGACGTAAAATGGACTCAAACTCTGGTCAGATCCCAAAAAAAATCCAAATCCCGACCTTTTTTGACACAAACCTCACCAAGACCTCAAAACCTGCCCTGTGCACGCACTGTCATGGGGGAGGTGCACTGTGGGCATCTCAGATCGCACAAAATTGGAAAGTTTGGTACAAAAAGACTTTTTGTGCATGATTCAATAAAGAATTCTTTCCATATTTGTAGAGAGTCACATGATTTAATGACCCAAAAACATAAGCTATTGCAAAACAACAACAACAAAACACTAGAACTGCTATTCATGTTCTTCAGGAGCAATCGATTTCGACTTTTTTCTTTCGCTATTATATCTTTCAACAAGTTTGTTAATGTTGATACTTCGTAGCATATTGCGGATGACCATAGGGATTGAATAACATCCATCGTCAACAAATGCAAAGTTGGAACCATCGGAAGGCTTGAAGACATAGAGAATGTCTGGAGCGTCCAGGAGAGCATATGTCCAGGTATCTGGAGCAGACTCTTCAGTAGCAGTTGCCACCGGTAATCCTGGTTTATAATATAATATTTGCACACCAATGTGCGATAGTTTCTTTCTTGAAGTAGCACTGGTAACAAAGGCATGTCTCCCAGCTACATGCTCATAGATGACCATTGTGCGTGCAAGATACAAGGCCTGAGGTCCATAAGATATCAGTGATTGGCTAGATTCTCAAGATCAAGAGACAAACGTACATTGTTTTTAATTAAGATGAGAAATTTACCAGGCTCAATTGGGTTTTCAACTCCGATAGAGCCCCCATCAAATAAGTGTTGTGTGTCAATAGCTCGTTCTGTGGAGGTGTTTTTGGTAATCCCCACCAAATCAAGTTTTACATGTATGTTCCACCGGTGTCGACGTGCAGCTCCAGCTGGAGTCCCAGAAAATGTCTTCATGAAAACCGCTATAGCCTTAGAGCAAGCACTAGGCTTCATGCTGCCGTCATTTGTTCTTGAATTGAGCTCAAGGCTTAATCCTTCCGCATTTGTCAACATTCGATCATTTCCTTTATTCTTGGCAACTTGACTATCATGACGTTTTCGTAGCTCAAGTATGTTCTTCAGGTCAAGTTTTTCTCCAATGGTCAGGCTCACCAGGGCTTCTTCGCAAAAGCTGACTGGAGAAGCAGGTGCATTGGGTTGCTCAGGCTCATCTATTTTGCGATAATATTTGAGCAGATATTTCAGTTTAAAGAATGGATGAGTTTCCAAGATAGAACGTACCACTGGAGTTAAGAAGGTTGGAGATTGACATTGCAGCATTTTGTACAACTTCGTCCTCAAGAGTTTCAGGGACTTGATCAAGCATGACAGCAAGAGCGTTCTGCTCTTTTGTCAATCTAGCTGCTGCTTCAAAAGCCTCGTTCTCAGGAAACTCCCCAAATTCGTAGCCATATCTGACTTCGTAGTCTTTGGAGGCACTAGTTGAAATATCTGAATAAGTAGACGGTCGTCAGCTGTATGATCAACAAACATTGAGGGTGTGTGTTTATATACCTAGATAGTCTTCTTGGACTTTATCAACAGTAGAGCTGACTATATCCTCGATGTCATGGTCAAGATCTTCAAGTTCGCTGGAGACCATCCCGCAAAATTCAGCCATGCTAACAGCACGTTTTTTAGCAGTGGTAAGATCCGATGTGATTTCACTATTAGATGGGAAATTGCGGAGATGATCGAGGTTGTTGATATCACTTTCACGAAGATCATACTGGTACCCAGCATGTACATGTTCTGATGGTGCTATTTTCATCCTCCCACTCATGATGCTCTTGACAACAGCCATGATTTTTGGCATCATGAGACGAGCATCAAGAACGCTAAAGTTTGGAGAGATTACTCTCATCCACCCAAATATGTGCTCGCACGCTTCAGTTCCGTGTTTCCATGGACAAAACGGGAAATCGGGATAGTAATCGCGATGAGAGATGATCAATGCCAAAAAAGATTCCGCTAGATTTGAAAATATCTTGAAGCTGGCATGAGAGATCCTGTTGAGATGGAAGCTCATCAGACCATTTGTTCTTTTCTGACACTTCAGAAGGTATTCTTTCCAGATACGTAAGAAGAAGCCGGCCGTCCACACCGCCCTAATTCGCTCACGATGACCCATAGTTTTGTTCAGCCACGCATCACATAGTTCGCCAATGATAAAAAGGTACACAGTTAAGCCGTAACAATCATCTCTAGCCAGAGTAGTAGCCACAGTTTGAGAGCAGAAAGTCCTTAATGCACGACCATCGTCTTGTTTATCACAATCAAAAACATCTTTAGTAAGAAGCGGGCTGTTTGATGTCTGTAGAACCTGAGAAAGATCTTGAAGTGAAACAACAAATTTTCCCATAGTTATTAAACGTGATCCTGAGAGTAATTGATTCGCACCGGTCTTTCTAGCGTGCTTTGGGTCCTGTAAGGTCACAACTGGGCGTGGTGGGTTTCCAAACAGTGGTACTTTGATGTGAACATCGAGATTATTGTTTGAATAGGTTAAAAAATGACTGGTCATTTGATTCAGTTTGACCTGTGCCGCAATTTCATTAGCGGCTCCGTCGGCTCCAATCGATAAGACATTGATACCTGATGCTTGACTCATTCTTATCATATTATCATGGAGGACTGAAATTTCGTCCGCTCCTTCATCGGATGCACTGGCTAATAATGCAACAACTAGAGTTGGGATATTTGGAAGAGGGACCTGAATGGTGTAAGCTCGGATCTAGGGATTAAAGAGAGATCATGGGTCAGTGTACAGATCAGGCTATGTGAGATGTACAAACACTCACTTTTGAACACAAGTTATTTTGCTTCTTGATCTTCTCAAGCATTTTTTGCAGTTCATCTGGATTATCAAACGGTATATCGCCTCCCTGGGCTCCAACAATGAAACCGCGATGATGCCGAAGAGTCTGAACACAAACAGTCTGATCTGAGCCAACCGCAACCGGACCCGAATATCCAAGCTCAGTAAGAATAGCAGCTGCACGATCAAAATTCCCTTGAACCATTCCATCTTCTATCTCAGTCTTGCTCCTTGCTCGATCCATTCTTTGGCATCGTAATGTCTTCCCAACAAAGTTCTCTGTGAGAAGCTTGAGTGCGCTCTTGCTCATTGCACCTAGAGTGGTAAGGCAATCATTGAGATGAGTATCTATTCGCATACCCCGAAGAGACTTTCCTGCCTCCTCACGCTCGGCGCGTATAGCACATCCCATTATCATCCCTTTAACAGCTTGACGGTTTTCAAAAATTCCTCTTCTCGCCATAATCACTAGATGGTCGAGAAAATCACCGAAGTCGCCATTACGTGAAGATTCAAGAGACTTTCCAAGGATTTTGACCTCTTTGCACTCATTCACAATGGTATTGTATTTATCAATAACTAGCAGATAGTTGGGTGTAAATTTCTTGTTATCACCCTTTGCATATTTGTGATTGAGAGCTCGTCTCAAGCTGCTAAGGTCTTTCAATTCAAGGCATGAATCGCAAGGTTGGAGAGGATCCTTTTTGTGGTGGTTGACAGTCCTTTTGCAAGATGTTGAGTAGATGGCATTGCGTTCACCGTGTCTCTTGACTTCCCAAGTGGAGCGTGCATCCAGTTCCGTCACAAGTTTAGCCTTTTGTGATTCCGTAAGATCGTTCTCCCCAAGATCGTCCCCAAACAGTTCTTTGAGTATTTTGTGTTGAACATTACCGCGATAGATGGTACAGGTGCTGTCCATGAACTCAGCAATTGTACGCTCAGATTTAGGTCTAGGCCAGGTTTTGTCTGTGAGACCTGGACAAGCAGCCTCAATAATATTCCTGTTGACAGGTTGGAGAGCCGGGTCTTTGACAAAGAACGAGCTCAAGAGTTTGTTGGATCGCAATTGAGCAGTTGTCTTTGCACATTTATCTGATAATAATGAAACGGCAAGGACATCAGCACAAGTTTAAAAGATGTTCAAGATGGGAGGGAGAATGAAATCGTACCAGTTAACCAGTGTGCTTCTGCCCTCTCAAATCTTCCTCCATGAAGAGTTACAGGTGCTGATCCACAGTGACACTTCAAAGCCTGGCCCCTCGGGTGCCGCTCGATCTTACAACGGACACAAGGATTGTCGAGTTTGGATAGAGGGCATAGGAGAATCACACTTTGTTTCTTCTTCTTTTCTTTTTTTTGTTTTTTTTTTGTGAAGCTGTATTAATGTTGCTTTTGATAAACACAACCTCGTTGTCTTCAGCTAGGATTTCGTTGTCAGATAAGATTAAAATTGCAGTAGATGTGCTGGCTACATTATGCTGTCGTTTTGGAGGAGGCTTGGGTTCCTGGGCAACTGCAACATTGGGATCAGAGGTGGGGTTCGAAACCATTCGGCGCTTAACTCCCTTTGCCGGATTTGTTGAAGATTTAGCAGGTGGATGATCTTTTGGAGAAGATTTTCCGAGTTCTAATGGACACAAATTTGGTGTCAGCAAACCTAATTAACTCATCTGTATGACCACAAATAAAAACATGTGGAGCGGAGGAAGGCTTACCCCACAGTTTTTCAATAACTCTCTTGAATTTGAGCTTCATCAACTGATCTGAAGTCGAGTCATAATTGCCCATTTTTTGCAGTCTTTTTTGCTGGTCTTCTGGCGAATCCCAGGTGGGATGCTCGCGTGCCTGATTGACATACTTGATGACCAAAGCCATGCCTTCAGGCCCTTTCCGGACATTTTCAAGACCGTTGTCAGAACCAAACAGTCCATCGAGCTTTTTGTTGACACTCAACCAAATTCCGTCTTCTGCGTCCTTTGCTGGTAAGTATGGTGAATTAGAAAAAGTACGGTAAATAGTATCTGCGCATGTAGCCGTGGCAATGATCGGGGATTCTTCAACGAGGTGCAAGAGTTCTTTCATGACATCATTGAGGAGCGGCATGATTTCTGTTATCTCGTGTCAAGATTCCTATACATATTCAAGAGAAATGTCAAGGTATATATCATTTGTTAGCATGGGTACCATCAAGTCGATCTGTTGCTTCATGGAATCAGAAGCACATCCGGATGCCTTGATCCAAATCACAGGTATCGTCTCATAGATCCGGCTAAGAGTGATGATACCTGGTGCAAAAATTGATCGAGCAGCGAAGAGAAGAATGCTTGATAACAATGAAGTGATAAATTAAGACGTACTTTTTCACAGCCACGAAAAATCTCAAGAGTCAAGATATAATGTTGTTAAAGGATATTGAGATAAATTGAGGTACAGCTGGACCGGGAGGGTTGAGAGACTTGATCGAGTGGTGGAATGAGCCTGAATGAGCTAGATCGAGTGGTGGATCATAGGCTGACCCAAACTGACTAGAAAATTTAGGTATTTTATGACACTTTTGTCAACTTTTTGCCCAAAAGTAGGCCAAAATTCCGACATTTTCTGACACAAACATATGGGCAAAAAGGGTGAATTCCGACAAATTTCGGCACACACATAGGTAAAAACCAAGGCCAAATCCCGACAATTTTAGGCACAAACCCCAGTAGGAGCTTTCCTGGGTCCTATGGCAGCTTTAAGAGTTATGGTCTTGTTCTTCATGATGGCTACTACATTCATTGCTGCTCGTCCAGTCCAGTGAGCTCCTTTATGTCATCCTTTTTACAAAGAGTGTGGACTTGAGTTCGGAAGTTCTGATCCCTCCCTTTTTTGACAGTGACATGTATGGTACGAGTGACCCTGATGGGAGCGACCCATACAACCTATCAACCAAATGTAAGTCGTGGTTTCGGCTCATCTGTATATTACTTGCACTCATCTCGCAATGCTTTGCACTTTGACTTTCTCGAACAGGATGTCGCTCAATCCAATTCACGACTAGCGATGGGTAGCTTCGAGGGCTGTCTTCACGCCATTCACCCTTCCGTAGGAGACTTTTCCCGCTCTCCGACTTACAGTCACCCAACTAGCAAAACCATTCATGGATATCGCATATACTCACGTAGTTAACTATCGAGCTTGAATTTGTACAATAGAAGGGAAACATTCCTGGTAACACTATGGACAATGATTTAATGTAGAAATAGTACAATGGACAAACAAAATTGAGACTGAAATTTGATCATTCTGTAAAGAGCATATACTCGAGAGACATGATCTCAAAAAAACATTCTGGCCTGTCATGATTCAGAAAATGATAAAGTTGATTGTTAGGCTGAAATGGCGTGATCTGAGTGATAATATGACCCACACCAAAATAAACCTGCATTTAGGGAACGATGTAAGGATTTGTGTTAACCAATTATCCTTATCTTCAATTCCATCTTTGAAAGAACTATGCTATACGTGAACTTGAGGTGATAAATCAATTCAGCTAGAGCTCTGCTACCATTTTTGCTGTAAAATATGTTGAAAGTGGTCTTCGAAATGTGCTTCAGGCGAGTTTTTGCACAACTTTTTTTCAGCAAGTCAAGACTGCCCGGCTGTTGCCAAGCATCGGTCAGTCATGACATTTGGAAGGTCCTTGTGTCGCCTTGAGACTAAGAATCTGACCTTCTTGTCAATTCAAAGTCTTAAGATTGGTGATTTCACCACCATTCTTCTTGTTCAAGAGACTCCATGCATAGAGGTATGCTATGTACTATGTCCCTTTGCATAATCTGTTTCACGCGGAGACCACGGGCCGCCGGCGGGGGGAATCGACACTATATATCTCGTTTTTGAGCTCACAGTTTGTTAAAAGGCTTTGCCTGCTGCCTCTTGCGAGACGTGTCAACTGTTGATACTGAGAGATCAATCCTCTGGCCCTTTTTCACATGAAGCGTCTCATGATCATATTGGTAGTGTTCAGGAGCCTGAGGATGTACAATATAGTCCATTCCTGAGGAAGAGAGGAGTGACAGGTGCGGGTGCAATCACACATAGATGTCATAGGAACTGTGTCATTTATGTATGGTGAATTTGGAAGAATGGATTGAGAGGGGGAAAAATTTTTCCTCACAACAATCCTTCCAATTTCACCATTCCTATCTCTAGCACCGCATCCTGCACTCCTCCTTGGGCAAGTGATTTTCAAAGAGTATACCAAAACTCTTAGAAAAGTCAGTTAAAAAATAGGAAAATCTTTTTAGCATACATACCTTTTACAAGTATACTTGTTTATTCTCATTATTCCACGTGGATGTGGAGGCAATTGAAAAAGAAAGCTCCAGTCACACCGAAATATCAATCCGAAAAAATGATGAACTCAATTGCTCAAGACAAAGAGAAGAAGAGGCTACATGCACTAAAACTGAAAGAACAAGCCGAAGGACGATTGAAGAGAGCGTGCTCACGGGCCCCCCCTGGACTCAAACCACCCCGAATAGATCCTTTAACGGGGGACCCTTCAGAAGAACGAGGGAAGGAGTTAGAGACGAGGAAGGACGATAATCCAATCGAGATCGTTGATGACCCGGTAAATGACGGGACAAAGGTGGAGGAGAGAAAGTCATCTGGAGTGTTGCATGCAAATCCGATGGTGGAACTGGATGGAGATGAAGAAGGAGGCAGTGGATTCTCAGGTGGAGATGAATCTAGTTCTGAACAGAGTTTAAAGGGGAAGAAGAAGAAGAAGAAATCAGCGAACAAGAATAAGACCTCAAGAGACAGGAAGAGGAAAGAGAAGAAGGTGAGACTGGAGGAGTCCTCTTCTGAGGAGGAGAGCTCGATCGACCTGGGAAAGTCTTACAGGTATTTGATCGAAGATGATTTACGTAAGCCACGTCTCTAGTTCCTTTTCTTTTTCACATCCGGCTGTCAAGACACCCCCCCCACCCCTACTCCTCGTGTAGAAAGTCGCTGTTAGGAAGTAGCAGCCTCATGGAGGCTCCTTCGGAGAGCTAGTAGCAGCTCTCGAGCTCCTAGCAGACCCCTTTCCCCCCTCCTCCCTCCTTGACTCTCAGATAACCCTCGCTCCTGTTCAATCAGTTGTAGCATTGGTGGAGAGGAAGGATGTGGATAGAGGAGAGTAGGATGAGGAAGGGGGAAAGGATCAGTGTACTATCCTGGCTGAAAGAAAAGCAATGTGGAGATAGTGACGTACTTGTGCTCCGGTCGAGTAGACTGTGAGAGCACTCCCGACCCTGTCTGATATGAGACGAGAACTGGTCTAAGATGAATGGGATCTGAGCTCCTTTCCTCACCAGCAAGGAAAGTAGAAGCAGGCGTACACTAGACCTGGGACCTAAGACTAGGAGGCACCAACCCCCCCCCCTCCCCCCCCCCCTTTTTATCTCTCGTTGGCGCGGAGTAGAGGCTGGTGACTAATTGTTGGGCTCTTGCTTCCTGAACGGGTTGCTTCTTTACACAGCCCCGGCTTTGTTAAATGCCTCGAACGTCTCTACTGGAGAGGGGAGATCCGCCAATCCTAATGCCCCTGCTGCGGTGGCTAGACTCGGGGCCTCCGCTCCTTTAATGGACCGCTTGTTGTATGCAATCGAACATGAGGACATTGAGGCCATAAAGGCTCTGCAATCCGAATTGCGCGAGGCGGAAGCAAGAAAGCATAGGGGAGGTGTGGAGGAACGGAAGGGGAAAGGAGTCAAGAAAGAAAAGAAGAAAAAGAGGGGGAAAGGGAAGAGGAGGTCGAAGAGGTCATCAGCTAAACGGAAGTCTTCCTGTAGGGATAAGAAGGGAAAGGGGAAACGACGTTACTCTTTGTCGAGTTCGAGCTCAAGCTCATCCTCGTCCAGCTCGGACAGCTCCAGTGACTCATCCTCGACCTCTTCATCCTCTGAGTCATCCTCCTCAAATCGGAAAGTGAAGTCGGGCCGAAGACGTTCTTCCTCCAGCTCGTCTAGCTCATCAAGCACCTCGGACTCTTCCTCAGAATCCTCAGACTCGAGTGACAGGAAACCTTCAAAGAAGAAGAAGATGATGGAATTCGGGATGGACACCATCTCGGGCCTTGACCTCCCTGATCTCCCAGATGAGTGGGATAAAAACTTTAGAAAATTCAAGAAATATGTGCCTCTATCAGTCTTTAGGAGGTCTTACATAGGAGCGTTCCATTCTGCGGTTGAGGACGGATCAAAGAAGTGGAAGAAGGGCTCGGACGCCTCGGTCTCGGAACGAGACCAGGAGAGGCAGGTGACCTATGGCGACTTTGTGATGGCCTGCGATCTAGAAGCACGTTATGCAGAAGAGGTCTATGGACACTCAGGCTACGCCGCATGGATTTTTGTTCATAAAGCGGTAGTCAATGACTTGATGGTGAAGTTCAAGAGCTGGATGGTTGGTCTGAGGTATCATCTAGCGGTGAGAGCAGTGGTGTTTAGGAAGAGATCGAGGATCATTTATGAGAGGAAGAAAGATGGGAAGAGGGGTAGGAAGGTGGATACAGTTGTCTTACCACGAGGAGTCCAGAAGCTAGCGGTGAGGCAAGCCAGATGGGACTGCGAGACCGCCGGTGATTTGAAATTCAATGGTAATCCTTATGCTCCTGGCACTACACAAAATGTAATCTTTACCGGGCGGTAAAGAAAACTACTGACAAAGAAAAATCCTGACACGACAGGAAGAGAGCTAAAAATTTGAAAAAATATGCACCTTGTTCCTAGATGTTGGGGCGTCATGATGAGTATTTTTTTGTATTTTACACACAGATATTGGTTAATGTACTAACAATAAAGGCTAAAGATCATCAACAACCCACCTGTAACAATACCTGAAATTTGGTTCATGATTATGAAGACAATATTTTGTGGTCTAAAAACTTCAATAACTTTTGCAATTCTGCTCCAAATGACTCGATTTTTGGTTCATTCAAAAGCTGAAACATTCTCCTTTAAACTTCATAAAGGTAGTAAGGTGTTATCTAGTCATGTAAACACTCTACATATGTTCAAACAGTTCTGAATAAATAGCTCTGTAGGATCTTTTGCAGACCGGCTACAGATGTGATGCCTCAATGATAAATGTAGAGGAAGGACCCACCTTTCTGATGAACTAATATTCGAGTGATTTGATTCGGAAATGCAAAAGTTATTGATGTTTGAAAATTTCAAAATCCTGTCTTCAAAATCACGGGCCAAATTTCAGGTACTGTTACATGTGGGTTTTTGATGATTCTCAGCCTTTATTGTTAGTACATTGAACAATATCTGTCTGTAAAATACAAAAAAACTAGCCATTTGGGGGCGGCGGGCGCCGCTCTCAGCCAGAATAAATACCACATTTTGACCAACAAGCTCTACGTATTGAGCAAAGGGAAAAGGTAAATGGGTTGCACACAACCTCTACCATATGTAACACTGCTGCATTAGAATGAGCAAGAAGAGCCTCCAACAAAGTTTTGAAAATGGAGGACATGGCATACTGTGCAAGGAGGTGTTTCAAAATACAATATAAAGAAAAACAACCAGTGGCGCAAACAAAGTCTAACACACTTAAAAGCAAGCAAACATCATTTTTTCACAAGTCACAAACAGAAACTAAAAAGCCATAAGAACCAGACAGCAAAAGCGGCAAAATTGCCTTTTGAGGCAAGAGAGGTTTGAAACCAAAAATGTGGAAAAGTCCACAAAACAATTAGAGATACAAACAAGCAAAGGTATGGTAGCCATGATCTGAACAACATCATTACAAACAAAATCCAGCAAATTTGAACAAAATATCAATTCTGAATGTGCGAATAAATTGTCTACTCATATGACTGATCTTTTGCTAAGTTTCTAGTTGTTTTGTTGAATTAATAATTTGAGTACATGCTGATTCCCTGCATTCTGGCTTTTCTTTAGGGTGGATACTCAAATTGAACAACAACAAATATATAAATAAAACAGGTTGTGGAAAATGAAAGATATCCACTGTTTTGCTAAGAACTGAGCTGGTATGGATTTGATGTACCTGGAATGATTGCTTTCTCACCTGGGATGACTGATGATCCATTTACAATTGTATTGGATGCTACAGCCAAAGCAAGACCAGTAGGAGGTCAATGTTGATAAGAGTCCAATATTGTCTTTTTGGGAGTTCTTCTTGGACTTGCTTGGGTCGATTGATTTGTTCATGGCATATAATTTGGAGAGATCTTCTTCCATCTGGACTAATAATGAGTTAAGACAGATTGGGTTGAAATCCAAGATCTTAGCGTTACTAATACAAAGTATCTTTCTTTTGTTCTTCATCAGGTTCAATGATATATGATCACAGTGTAAAGTCTTCTTTCAATGTCTTTTACCAGGTGTCCTCAAAAACAATGGCAATGGGCCAACACAGGAAACAAAATTGGATTTTCCCATGGGAAGACTGAAGTTTCTGAGCCAAAAAATAGAAAAAACACAGATATAATGCCAAAACAAAATATTTTGGCTCATTAACTGAGTTAACGACAATTGGTTTTCCCATGGCAAAATCATCTTGTGTTTCCTGTGCAAGGATTTGAAGTTGGTTTCAAACCATCACTCTTGATGATTGGCTAGAAAGCGAGCTTCAAAGACTCAAGGCAAAATTTTTGTTGGATCTTTTCAAAACCAGTTATTTATGGAAGCAAGAGAGTGATTCTACATACAATGTTATTTGTGGTGATAAGCCCATATAAGAGTCATAAACTCAAAGTTTATCATGATCTCTCTGCTGGGTATTCCCCTCATCATGTCTTACAATTGAGGAAACATACCGTTTTTTCATATCCTCCCAACCTTCTCTGGTTTAAAAACTTTTCTGCATCTTCACACTATTCTGAACCATCAGTGAATTTACACCTTGCAGACATCGTTCATATTATGCTTCACATGATCTTTTGTTTCATAAACTATCATCATATTTCACTACTTTTTCAAACTTGTTCTCATCTAATGAATACTTTTGTTTCTAACAAAATGAATACATAATAAATGCTTTAAACCGAACCAAATAATACACATAACGTCCTCATTTTTCACCTTTATGTTTTTCTTAAACATGTTCATTTGAATTTTCATTTAGATTCCTATTCCCATTCCCATTCCCATGATGTTGTGTATGATTCAAAAAATGATTAGGTGTAGCTCTACCAGATCCAGTAGGTGTAAATCCAAATCCAATTTGATCATGTGAATTAAATTGCAAAACTAATCCAACTCCACCTGAAAGTGCATATAATGGTCCAGAATATCCAGCTAAATTGAAGGACAAAGCAATAAATGTTATGTAAATCAAGCTTTCTTTTGAATCAATTTCTTTCAAGGTTAAAGAAAAAGAAAATCACTAACACATCAAAATCGAATCGCAAAATCCACCATCTTCCAATAATGTATCAACAAGACAATTGTTCATTTGTGGTTAATCGTTCTCCGCAACAAAACCCTCGAATGGTTGTAGGTCAAATGGTAGTATTGGACAATTGACATTAGACGGAAGCTCGGATGAAGATCCAAAAGCTGGGTCCAATTGATTTCCAGGCGGAAATGGGACACCTGAGGCTGTGATATGATCAACTCTGTCCGGAGCAGGATTAACCGGTAAACCTTTGCGCTGTGTGGCAACTGAGTGCTAGTCAGATTGCAAACCACAATCTTCGCTATCAACTGCCTTGTTTGAAGTTGAATTAGTTGGGGTCCTTGTATCCACCGGGATCAAGAGGCGTGGAAGTGGACGGTTGTGAATGATCTGTGTCTTTGGGAGATGCTGAAGTTCCTTTCTTGCTATTCAACAACACTTTCAAAAAGGCCGCATACAGGGCTGGCATGTGCTTCTCATCCACCAAAACCTCTTCTAAGAGCACTGTACAGTCATAGACTAAAATTGTGACTGCCAACGGGTCACACGTGGAGCTAAACTGTGGTCATATAAGCTGTGGTCATTCAGAGATATGGTATCAGCAGTTGATTTTCTGGATTTGGCCTCAAAACTCCGCGTACCTTCAGTAAGAATACTGCAGCATAAGCAATGTATACAAATTGACTGTCGGGTGCATATCACAAAGCACCTAGAGGTCCAAGTGATCTTGTGCCATAGTGATCACTTGTGTCGCCGCGTCGTAAAAGGTCAGGTAGACACTGTATAATCAGTTAGACGGACTGTGAGTCTATCATTGCATGATATAACAAGCAAAATCATCATCGAACGTACTGCGGAAGCTCAATTTGTTTGTCAGGGTTTTCTATTGTGTGTTGTAGCATAAAGCTCATGGTGAATAATCTGTGACAAGCAGTATCAAGAAGGCAAAGTCAGTTGGCGAGTACACAACAAAGAGCTATCATCAAAATCGACATCACATAGTAATTGTAATAAAACTCCTTCATGCTATGTCTGTATCCACCCGGGCGATCAAGCTCATTGTCAAGGGTACGAATGGTGCACTAAGAAACAGATAGAGTTCCTTCAGTCTGGAAAGAAATCTAACGAGAACAATTTGACATAACCTCGGTCATCCATTGATCTAGCGACCTATTGGGATGCATATGATCGGTAATCAGCCCATCAACTGCGAAGATCAGTACCCAAGAGGCGGCTTACTGAGAAAAGGTCTTCATCAATAAAGAGTAGTCTAGATTGGCGTTCAAGCCTGAGGGTGTACCAGTATGAGAATATAGCAAATCCAGAGATCTTGACTGTAGACATTTGAATACTCAATCATTGATAACCTTATAGAACAATTCTAAGCTATGTACGTGTATTCAATGTAGATCCACCATAGCTGTGATACCAGAGTCGTCTGGGACCAAGGCACGATGTTTATGCCAACGTTTTGAAGAACTAATGATGAAATCTTCTCAAATTGTGTATGGTTTTCCCATCTGGGCTGATAATGAGCAATTAATAATAAAGCAACAAAGCCAGGTTCTTTGCCGGTTCAGAATCTCTTTCTCGTAGTGTTCTTGCTGTATAGATGAATCGTCAGGAATGGGTTTTTGCGACTGAGAATCTGCAAATGGCAATTGCACGGCGCTTTTCCTGTGAAGATTCAGATCCACTGCCATACAGATATCTATACCAGAGAAGGCCCCTGTGTGATGTCAAAGGCGCTAATAGTTTCAAGCGTCGGGGTATTGTGCCAAAAACTCACATGTATGGTCCTCTTCAAACCTTTCTGCGGGTTTGTTCCAAAGGGTCAATAATAAGAGTGCTTGAATGACTCCTACAGACTTATAGCCTTTGACCATCACATCAAAAGCAATGCGCTTTGCAGCCTGAGACAATCGAGATATAGCTTTTGACATTTTGCATAGTATCGAGATGCCACAGCACAGATGAAGGTGAATAAGAACGGCGAACAAGATCCGACTATTGTAGGTGTGTGAAAGTCTTGCTCGAGAATACAGCAGCTACAATAATCATAGAGGTAAGATTAGAAAGTTCACCTTAAAATGAGGAATTGACCAAGAGATAGTGTTGTGAAATCTGCAAGAGATCTATTAAAGACATACTGTGGGTTGCATTTGTCAAAAAAGATCTGGAATAATTCAATAGCTTCCTCATTAGTTAATATCTTGTCTGTCAGTAAAGCAGGGGGAGCTCGTTGTCCAATGACAATTCGTCGGAGTGGCAAGGTATGTCTTGGAGCAGGTTGAAAATATGATTGGTTTGCGACTCCGACCTTGCGTTTATGTTGAGTCTTGCTACTATGATGATGATTTGTGTTAGACTCGTCAGCCACAGCAGATGTTGGCTCCTGTAGACTCAAAGCCAAAGAGCACTGAGACAAATTGTCATCATCTTGTCCCATTGGTTCTGACTCTTCAGCAATGTGATGTTGTGACATGTCATGCTCGTCGAGGGCTGATAGAGTGCGTTGATCCGGTGGCATAGACCGCACAGGCGATGTTTGTCTGTGAGACCCGCTCGAACTACAATCAGATCTATGCCGATTGTGTCTTTTGCGCAGGGAAGCTCTGCAAGTCATAAGTAGGAGTGTGTGGTGGATCAGTACCTTGTAACCGAGTTTTTCTCAAGATAGACAATGTCAATCGACTTACTCTGCCAAGAGGCCCAGGGAATTCAAAGTATTATTGGGTAAAGAATGTAGCCTAGGGCTCGGGGGCCGACTGAAGTCTGGAAGGGCAGCAAAGCAGGCTGAATCCAGGTTTTCATTGGTATGTGTCGTGGGATAAGCATTTGACATGCGCGGATGAGACCTTCAGAAGAGAATTGGTTCGGCCCAGAAGAGTTTGGTGCCAGAGGAGCCGTCAGCTGAGCCTTGGGTCCTCGTTGTAGATGGATTGCCAAGGGAGATTCCTATATGTGGAATTAGATTGCAATCAAGAATCAAAAGGTTCCGAGTACATGGAAATCAATTGACCTACTTCTATTCTTCTGTCTACTTAACCTGAAGCATCAAATTCTTGGAGTTACAAATGTGATAGGTCTATGGCAAACCTTCACTAATCACCCTCATCCATGCTCATCCATGTCCTCGATTGTAATACCAAACGCTTGGTTCAACAGGGTACCTTTATGGTCAAAAAAGAAAGATTAGATTTCAGTTTCAAAACAAGATAGGTTGATTAGAAGGGTATATAATTAAGCCATACTCCTTCCACTTGATTATGATCCAAATACTGCGACTAAGTCACAGTTGAAACCCTTTTGAGTAAACCTAGCTTGAAGTGAAACTGAGAGTTCAGTCTTAATTGTGTAATCTTAACCTCCATCTTGATCTTCCGATTGAAGGTTGCGAGTGTAATAAATGAAGGTGAGTAGCCGATCTGATTATTCAGAATAATGATAGATTAGCCATTGATAGCTAGTATAGTATATTGTAATTCGATATTGATGAGGAAAGATAAGATCAAGACCCAACTCACAGCCTAGAGAGATTCCAGTAGTGAACAGATGATATTGTTCTGTTTTTGTTTTGTAAGCATTGTTCAAGTTGATTAGTCAAAATGAATTGGTTTGCTGCATAGATTTGTTGAGTAACTGACGTGTGGCCTATGTTAAAGTATACGGTTTCCGATTCATTTTGAAGTAAAACACTGAAGTTTTTTTGACTCTTGGTATCAAATTTCCGTCTCGCTTGACCTGAAATCAAATCAAACTTTTATATTGACATTCAATGGAAAGATTGCTAACTTCTCGGCGTTTTCTAAAGACGTATCTTCAAGTGAAATTGTCAATTAAATGAAATGAAGAACATCGAAAAGTCGATTTGGTTTCATTTGATTTAGACTGGAAATCTAAATCGCAAGGTACAATCACAAAAGCTGTCTAAAAAGAAAACCCAACTATCATCAGCATTTACATCAGTCAATCGATTCAACTTTCTTTTAGAAATGAAAACTTACTCTGATTGATGCATTTGAAACTGTCCGACATGAACTTACAGTTCTTGTTAATTACCTATCAGGCATACATTCTAATCTGATTCAAAGATGAGAAGTATTAGAATTAGTAGAAACCGATCAGCTTTGAGGATTCGATGATGGAATTGATTGAATACATATTTGAGATTTAGAAGCAAGGATTGGAGCATCTTTTCAGAAGAAAAGAAAAAGAAAAAATCAGTTTTTGTTTTGATATGGATATTGGGAATAGATAACGAATGAAAAAAGAGATAAACAAACAAAGACCTGAAGGAATTGAAGGCTGTAAAAAAAGACAATCGTTTTGGTTATAAATCTAGTTGATTGTCCTTCCATAATTGCAAGAAGATCTTCGCCACACCATCTAAACAGTTATTTAAGCATACGGGTAACTCCTTCTTGAACTGATGTAGATGAAATGTATTCTGGTTTAATCTTTCTTCTGGATCATATAGTTGTGATTTTGGTTGTTTCGATGTATTTATCACTGGGTATTGATTGACAATTTGATGAAGCTACTGAGATTCTTGGAGCCGTACATGTCCCAGTAAAATTGAAAACAAGCCAAGAAAATATGTAAATTAAACAGAATTAAACAAACCAAAAAGTTGATTAAAAAATGATTTGTTGGGAAATCGCTCACTGAGCAGTTTCATCATCACCATCATTGTCTTCTGCTAAATCCAAATCCTCATCAAATGGTTCATCTAAATTATCATGCTTCTTTTTTCTCAAATTTTTCTCCGATAGATCATCTTTGAGTATTCATAAAAATCCCATAAGTCCAGAATCAGGTAAACTTATAAATTGTGATAAATCCTTTGTATATTGATTTGAATCAAATTCTATATCTAAAACACTTGAAAAGATTGAGAAGAGTTATTCAAATTGAATGAAGTTGATGGTTTTGTTTGAAATGATAATCACAGTTCTGTGATTGATTGATGGTCTGTAGTTGATGCTGATAATGATGAAGTGGTTGGATTGGATTAATGTGTGATTCCTTACGGATTGATTTGTTTTGGTCAATAAGCCACTTTTGCGTGAGAAGGAAGGAGTTTAATCAGGTTTTGGGCAAACCAGTTTGCTCTCAACTTGTATGATATGATTCCTACAGACGTTGAATGATGTTTGGTTATAAGTGGCATCGGTTACGGTGAAAGTCATCATGATTAGGTGTGGCTGCCTGGGTAGGAGACTTATGTGTGGTGTTATGAATAAATTGTAAGTCCAGTGGATTGATTGTTGATTATACATGTTCGGAGATTTGATATCCAAGAAGGAAACAATAGACAGTTGATGATGGGCTGTGGTGGGTGTTGCCTTGAAAAACATTATTCAGTCGTTGATGGGATATCATGTTGCCTACTACCTGTGTGAAGGAGATCATGAGTCTTGCAAACAAAAGCGTGATTGTGGTAGTAGTTGATTGACATTGCCAATGGGTGAACTCGCTATGAGAGGACAATTTGCGCGTTAGTGAATCACGGCAACATAAGATGTGTGCGGATGGGTTACGGGTTGATTGCGGAACTTTGCTTGTGTATTTTTGCCATGCGGAACTTCGCTTGTGTATTTTTGCCAGAGTTTTGTATTTGAAGTGCCTTTGTGGTTAAATGTAATGATACTCATCATGACGCCCCAACATCTAGAAACGAGGTCCATATTTTTTCAGATTTTTAGCTCTCTTCCTGTTGCCTCAGGATTTTTCTATGGCAGTAGTTTTCTTTACCGCCCGGTAAAGATTACATTTTGTGTAGTGTGGACAGCCGAAACATGGGTTTGATTTCTTCACGGGCCAGCCAAAGGTTGGAGCGTCTGGTTGGGGTAGTTCGTCGCGAGTTCAAGTCGAGGGTAGTTCAAGAGAGAAAGAGTATGGGAGTGGGTATTCAGGAAAGAATAAGAAGAAAAGAGGAGGAAATAGGGGACGAAGTGGGACTTACGGCGGCTATTACCGAGGGGGTTACCAAGCTGGACAGAGGACCTTCAACCACCAATTGTCAGCGCAAAGCGGACTCCATTGGGTGACTCAAGGGCAGCAACATGCGAGTAAGCAAGGCGGGTCCCAGAAGGCTACGAAACCACATAAGGGTAGGGAGCTTGGTAAGCTTTGGTCTAGTACACCCTGGTGACGTGGCAGGGGACTGACGTTTTGATTTGCTTGATTGTTGCGCGGGTCCGTTTGGGTCATTGTTGTCGGGTCCCCCTGGTACGACTATGCGGATGATATTGTTTGGTTGTCGGATTGTATGGTACGGGGTTTTGTCTCTTGTGAATTTCTCTTGCCCCTCCTTTTCTGGTCCTGTAAGACCTTTAGAAGTGTTGTCAGCGGAATAAAGTAAAGAGGGAGTTTTTGTAGAGAGCCAGACAGATGGTTGGAGGAAGCATGAGAAGAAAGAGGAGAAGCCTTGCGTGAAGTCAATAAGCAATTCAAAGATGGTTCCAGTTTTTGACATTGGATTGTTTTCTCACCCTGTTGCCCCCCCCTACATATTCCCCGGTCGATTCTTTGCTGGAGAATTCCCCATCTCTCTAGAGGGCAGCCCGCTAGGAATTGGTCGGTTTGGACGAGTAGATGCTCGTCGGTTTGACAACATACCACAGGAAGCCGGTATGGTTGAGCAGGGAATAGCCCCTGACATGACTCCTGCGTCAGATTCGGAAAGCAGGTCGGAGGTCACTGAGTCGTCCTCTGACGATTCCGTGAGGGTTGAAGTGAAAAAGATCTTACCTCTAAAAGATCGGGAGATCTTCAAGGTACCGGGAATAGGCCTATGGCCGAAGCCGGTGGAGACAGAGATGGTTCTGGAGAGGTGGGAGTCGCTAATGAAAGAGACCGGTCTTGAAGAAGATATCCCGTACATCCTAGATGGATTTAGGGAAGGTTTCTGTCTCGGGATTCTGCAACACCAGGTAGGAGACCTAAAGTGGTACACCCCCGACAACCATTCGTCAGCTAGGGATGTGGAAAGCGAAATAGAGAAGATACTAGAAAGAGAGCTGCGTGCAGGAAGGATAGCGGGACCTTTCTCGCATGAAGAGGTTTTTGAGAAGTATGGGTTTTTCCGCTCCAACCCAATGGGGAGCGCAACTAATGGGGACGGCTCACTTCGCCTCATAAACGATCTATCCTACCCTAAGGGAGACCCTGACATACCTTCTGTGAACTCCTTTGTCGACAAACGGAACTACGAGACCAGGTGGGATGACTTCAAGACAGTCGCTCGATTCCTAACGATGCACCCAGGGGAGTGGGAGATGGCGTTGGTGGACTGGGCGAAGGCGTATAGACAGCTAGGTGTCCATCCCTCCCAACGGAGATTCCTGATCATCGTAGACTTCAAAGGGCGTGTATGGGTGGATTTAGCGGTCGGGTTTGGAGGGGTAGCGAGCTGTGGGGTATTCGGCGCCCCGGCGGAGACCTGGAAATGGATAGTGATGAAGAAGTTGGACTTCCCGGTGGTCTTTCGCTGGGTGGATGATAACCTCATCCTCCGCAGACCAGGCCACAAATCGACGATTAGAGACGTGGAGGAGCTGAGCAAGTCGATGGGGGTTAAAACGAACCCTAAGAAAAACAGGGAATTCAATAAG